AGAACTGTGTTTTGCACGCAATAGCGTGCGGTACCAACTGCTCCTATAGAAAGCACTAAAATCAGAAGTTTCAAGCAAGCTAACATAAACTTACAGGTGAAAAGACGTTAAAGGCAAGCCCCGAGATTAGCCCACTAGTAGGATTGATACTATGAGGGAACTTTTTGAGGTACGTACCTTATAGATCGTGCCAGCTTCGTTGCCCAAATTGCGCGATTAGGGCGCTAATCCATTACGAACCTGCAACCATCGACCCTCGCTGCAACGCTTCCCACCCACCGCTATCGATATAGAGATCAGCTTCTCACTCAACGACGTGCTCTCTCGCAAGTTTTGTCTGGTTTGCCTCCAAGGGAGGAATTCAGCAAAGCCAACACCATGGGAAGATGCCTCCTATCGAAGAGTATACCGACCAATCTCCGAACGAGCACATCAACCTCTACGCCATTCCTGCAACTACAAGAAAACTGAGAAGCAATGGTGTTGCGAACATATGTTCATGGTATCATGAAGTCGTTCTGACACGACTGCGAAAAGCTACTGCAGAGTTCGAGCGAATGCGTAGCATGCCAGCATACGTAATGAACATATGTACAGTATGTTTCAAAAGTGCAAAGGCACCCCTGAAAACAGTTATAGTTATTCCGGTCAAGGAGAAACACTTGATAGCTTGCTACCAACTTTATTGAATTCATCACACGCTGAAACCTAATAATAACTTGCTCAGAAAACATTATGACCTAGAGAATTTATAAGGAATATGGAAATTTCTCCTTTTTCAAAAGTATAAAGGCACCCTGGTCACGAGAAGTTTTGTGACTATGCTTAGCGAAAACATTACTTCTTCAGTAGATCTGGACGATTTAGGCTGTGTACCTAGGATAAAGTCGTGCGAAAGTCAAATACCTCACAACTGTTTAACGTGGCCAATCTCCTGGCTTTGTTACCAATTTTATGAGAAATTCAGCTTTTGTGGAGAAAACGGCGTCTTCGGAAGGGCATGATTTCCACTGCGAAGAATCTCATATTCAGCAATCCCGCTTGAGTTCAATTATACCACGTCAGACAGCTTGATCCATGACGAGCATTTGCTTTCCGCATCAAGAATCATCACCTAAAGAACTATCAGCTCAACTGCAAGTATTGTGCAAGAGGACATGATTAGGGTCGCACAACTGAGTGAGCACCGCGAAACAGCTCGCCTCAAATTAGCTCGAAAGGACATGAGTGAGGACCGGGATTCAGCAGGTTCTACAAAGTAGGATGACCTCTCAGTATGGTGACTGCTTGAACCTCTTTTTAGTTTTACTAATCTTTCCTGACAGGAATGAATCTAAGTAAAACGTGCTGGATAGGTATAGCCGGTGTAGCGATCCCTAAAAGACCCATTAATCTTCAGCTGGGGAACTTCTGTGGAGGATCTCAGATGATGCGGGCTACACCCTGCAACAGTGCTGATCCCTCTCTTTAGTTTCCACAAAAAAATGAAATGGTGCCCCGGTAGCGTAACTGGTAGCGCACTTGCCCGGAAAGCGAGAGGTGCGGGTTCTAGTCCCGCCTGGGGCGAAAGTTTTGTTCACAACCCAGCATTCTTGTGAAACATTCGCAAGGCGAACTGCGGCCAAAAACAGCAGTTAACAATCAAACCTATCGCTTTCCGGGCAAGTCACGTTCCAGTTACGCTAATCGCCGACCAAATTCATTTTTTGTGAACTAAAGAGAATGCGAGCAAGCTGTTGCAGGGTGTAGCCCCCATCATCTGAGATCCTCCACAGAAGTTCCCCAGCTGATGATTATTGGGTCTTTTAGGGATCGCTACACCGGCTATACCTATCCAGCACGTTTTACTTAACGAGGAAAGGTCACCAGGTCGGTCCGGCCATTTGCAATGAGGTGTATACCTATGCATTCGTCTTGAGACGATAAGCTAGAAACCGCTTTTCTTATCTGCTAAACGGTGCTCTGAACGGAGTTACGGAAGTTTTCCCCTCAACACTGTACTTAAACGCAGTATATAAGCGCTATCATTGGAGTCGCCACTATAAGCCAAGCGGGAAGGAGCACGTCGTGGTTGACGTGGCGTAAGTGGTAACGCTCCAGGCTTGTAGGCGAGAGGTCATGGGATCGGTCTCTCGTGGTGTTTGTTGTTTTGCCTTTTTGAAAACATGACCAGAAAGGCTTTTAGCGACAGTATCCTCAATTGCTGCCTTTACCTGCCTGTGTAAGGAGTTAGGGAGCACCTCTGCGCAGGTTGAAAGCTATTTTTAATTAATATTTGCCATGACTGAAAACGACGCTCATAGCCCACTGATAAGGTGTTTTTGCGGTAAACGAGTATGATATTCGTGTTCAGGAGACCGAATTTTCCCTGGTTACAAGTTTCCAGCTGAATCTGAGATTTTGACCTACACTCGAGAAAGGGCAGTCAACATACAGTCAAACGAGAGAAGGTATGAATCGAAAACTAACTGGAAAAGCACCTTCCCTGAATTTTGATGCAGAGTCATGTAAATCATTTCCATTATGCGGAAATGTGAGCCGTTGAACGTTTCTCTTTTCAAAATCTTGGTAAAGGGAAAGGCAATTTCCATGCCAAGACGAGTTCAACGAT